TACATTTCTTTACCTAAATAAGTGATTACAACAGATAAACATACCTTTAACGAATAGTACGCATCCTTTTTTATGTACATTACACATTTTCACAACAATTAATGCTTTATTGTATTTAATATTTTAATAATTTCACAACACAAACAAAATGATCTTACATTTTGACAAAAGCAAACTGACACTTTGTTTTATATTACCGCTTAAATGACAACAGATTATATTTGATTATTTTTGCTTTTTCTGTTGGTAAAATATTAATATTAATAAATAAATAAATAAAAAGAAAAATATTATTTTCACTTTATAAATACATTTATAACTTTTTATTTGATTTATGTAAAATATATTGTTTTACAATTGTACATTTAGTAAAAAAAATCATTTTTTTATCTGTGAATATTTTTAATTATTTATTTATTATTCGTCATATCTGGGTTAGGTTAGGTTAGAACATTTAAGATTATTTATTTATTATTCCTCATATCTGGGTTAGGTTAGGTTAGAACATTTAAGATTATTTATTAATTATTCGTCATATCTTGGTTAGGTTAGGTTAGAACATTTTCCGGGGCAGAGGCTGACTGCTACCGGACGCGTCCCCGGGTGGCGGATAGGGGAAAGCCACTCGCGACTGTTCCCCCAGACAGGAGCTTGTGGTACCGGAGCAATCCGGCGCGGACCAACAGCCAGGAGGGGCAGGGGGAGCGGTGTCAGGAGGGCGCCGTCTCCTTCTTGGAGGTAGCGCGGTGTCTCCGGCCGTTTCGCGGTAGGAGGCGCTGCGCGGGCTGTGCTGCCGGGGCTAGCCCGTCGGTGCGGCGGCTGGAGCGGGGCCAGTTCGGTGGTCCTGCGTCTGGCGTGGGTGTCGGCAGCCATCTTGGTCCGGAGGTGGGCCGACCGTAGGGGGGCCGCGGGGGAAGAGGACTGTCGGTATGGCGATGCGCCGCTCGTCCCTATCTCCCGCGGCCCAGCGGGGCCACCACCGTTGATGGTAGACGCGGTGGGGCTGTAGGGGAAGGGGAGTGTCGGCGTTGTCGCATCCTCTACTCCTGCAGCCGTTTGGGGTGGGCTCGGTTTCGGGCGTATTGGTGGTTTGCCTAATTTGGGTGTGGTAGGTCAGGCTTAGGCCGCTTATTTTTTGCAGGTTGCCCACTTCGGTGGGTGGTGTTTGGTCGTGTGGGGCTGCTCCGGGTACTTCTCTGTTCAGCAGAGTGGACTTGGGAGCAGTCTCACTTCTCAGGGTTGCAAGTCTTCCCATAATGGGGTCGTCCCGCTTGGGGCGGCCTCATGGTTGGTGGCTTCGGCCAACCGTCGGGGCGTCACGGTTGTATGCGAAAGCGGTCCCGTGGCGTCCCACATGGCGGCTGTGGGGAAAGTTGGGTTTTAGTGGGTATGCCGGTCTCATTAGCCGGAGAGTCTCCACATAACCACCCTGGGGGGGAAGTCGGGTGGTATCCGTAATAGGATTTCCCAACTATAAAAAAAAAAAAAAAAAAGGTTAGAACATTTAAGATTATTTATTTATTATTCCTCATATCTGGGTTAGGTTAGGTTAGAACATTTAAGATTATTTATTTATTATTCCTCATATCTGGGTTAGGTTAGATTAGAACATTTAAGATTATTTATTAATTATTCGTCATATCTTGGTTAGGTTAGGTTAGAACAGTTGCCACAACGCACGAGCCGAGCGAGCGAAGCGAGCGTGCCGCGGTAGCGGCCGGCGAGTGCCATAAATGACTAGAAAACTAGAAAATTCGAATTTCACGCAAAGTACAAATAAAGACAATCATCTGGAGATCATTTTGACAATTGAAAGTGACGTTTTGACTCCAAGTGTCTAAATGGTAGTAATGTCAAAATAATGTATGGAAATGTTATAACTTTAAGTCTCAATAACTTTTGACTCTTTTGTTGTATTAAAAAATTTATTTAACATTTCGACTCCCTATCACGTCCCTTATCCAGAAATACCACCCACTCCGCTAGGGGCCAAGTCCCCAATTCTAAACGGCCGCCCGTAGGGCGAATAAATGCACGTTTAAAGTAGACGTGACTAAACGTTGTGTCAATTATTTAATTTCTAATTTTGCCGTCATGAGACGTTGCTGGCCCGAACGTGTTAATTAACATAATACTTTAAAAATATCATATCTATGTATATTATCAATGTTTTCTTAAAATAAAACAGTTGCACAATATTTTTTGAAAAAAAAACATGATACGATAAATTTCTCTTTTCTGATGGCGTAGACTGCAGTGACTTGAAACTTTGTTAAATAAAATTTTATTAGATATCTAGATTAATATTAATTCCCAATTCCATATATAATTTGTCTTAACCAAACCATGAAAATAATTTTTTACTCAAAACAAGAAACGAATCCGCGAAGTGTTCTTAGACTTTTCAGGTCAATCAAGTTTTTTTATTATTTTTATCTTACTACCACTATGCCATCTATATAGATTACCAACGGCTTCCAGCTCATATCAATGACTTTCTATCTACTGAATATATCTACTGAATATATCTTTAGACTTTAGCAGAAAATTTCAATAACCACAATAATCTTTTTAGCCAACTCGTAATGTTTTATATTAGATAAATATTCAAATATGTACGTACCTAGGTACAAAACTACTACTTGTACATAATTAGTAAGTATATTTTTATTTATTATAGTCAACTAGAAGAACCCGCGGCTTCGCTCGCGCTAAAACTTCAAAAAAAATCTCTAAAAAGGTAGTTTTATACAAACAATTCATTCCCTATTTTACCCCCTTTTACGATGAATTTCGAAAAAAGATAAAATACGTAATTATTTAATTTTATTGAAGAGCATTAATACCAAGTTTCAAGTAATTCTGATTATAATTATTTTTTTGAATTGTATTATAACGTGTTTTTCCGTGAGAATTAAATAATATCCCGTGGTAAAAAGTAGCCTATGCCACTTTCCAGCCCTCCAACTATCTCCACACAAAAAATCACGCCGATCCGTTTCGACGTGAAAGAAGGATAAACAAACAAACAAACACACTTTCACATTTATAATATTAAAAGTATGGATATTCTAATTATATATCACTTATAATATGAATGGTATCCCATTGATTTTTTTTATTATAAGTAATTATTATTGTATGAAAATTTTCAAAAGTACCTATAACAATAAATCTTGACCTAGATAAACTTCAACGCTCTGCTTGCGTAAACTAAAAAAAAATGAAAGGCATGCTTTTATCTGCGAAGGTTTGCGGTTATAATTAACTTAAATGTGCAAGTTAAAATTTAAATTAGTACTTAAATGTAAAATTATTATCAGAATGTACAGTGGCAATGAGTATGGAAATATATTTGCGTATTTAAACAGTTCCTACAAATATTATAGAATTTTTATATTTGTTATGATAATTAATTCTTCTTGGATAATAATAATTATAAAATTTATTTTTATAACTACGTACCTACATATGATCAATTTGAATTATATCCATTTATATTTTGTAAATTATATTCTAAAATATTTATTTAGATATATCCTAATATTATCTTGTGATAATATTATATTTTTGAATATTATACACTCAGCCTAAAGTAAAGTAGGTAACATATATTGACAAATCTATCAACTTCACATAGTAGAGAAAATCCTATCATCCAAATAATATTAAACTTGTCATTTAATAATTTATCCATAATAATTATAATAATTACACGACTCTTTTATTTTATTTGGGTGTACAAAAAAAAGATAGCTAGAGTCTGCGCGGAAAGAGAACCGTCATAAGATTTGAGGGCGCAGTTTTATTAACGTATTTGTTATGTTGACAACACTATAGTGCGACTGTAACATCATGATACTTTAAAACTATGTTAGAATATAATGTTTTCAGATTCCGTGTTAATAATTGTTTTAAGGAATGATTTTAATGACAACTGTTAAAGATATTTCTAAATGGATGTCATGTGCATCTTAAATCTATTTTCTAAGTAGTGTTACGTTAAATGAGTTCGGGGATCGGAAATAAAGGACGTATTCTGCACTACAGACTGTTGTTTTAATGTTTTCGTTTAAAAATAGTGATTTATGACCATTCACAAACACACGCACGTCTTCCTTTACGTTTTTTCCCTGGCGTGCATCACGTGCCGTTACTTATGGAACTTTCTTTTTTATTTTAGATACTGTATCTTTACTTAATCCTGAAAAAGTAGAAAAAATATTTTAAGTTAAGACTAACTTTACTAACTCGCTTAGACAAGCGCATTATAAATTAAAAGTATCAACACTCTTTATACCTGCTATCAAAAATATTGATTGGAACAAAATAAACAAATATTATCATATTTCTAAATGAATTCCTTTTAATTTATACATATTTTGAGAATTCAGGGACCGCAGGTTACTTAGGAAATCTTTAAATATTCAAATAAAACTGTCACATACCGGGCATATCTGCCACACGTTCCGTGACTTTATTTAGGTAAATAATGGTGTGTTTTGCTGCTTAGTCTCCTTACCAGAATTGTATAATATTAAATTTTATTTGCCTTGTAGAACTGTGAAGTTTTACCCCCTTTCGACATGATTTAACAAATAAAAATCACAATAAAACAATGCAATAAACACGAAGTAAAGTTTGATATTTGACTGATGGCTAGATTGGGTAGCCATATAAAAATTAAAAATCATAATGTTAGTTCCATTTTATGTATGCCACGACGGTTCTCTTTCCGCACAGACTCTACTTTTATTATTTGTCAATTGTCATAGACAGATGTCTATGACAAATACTAAAAATTGAAATTATTATTTGGAACTTCTAGATAATCTGTATTTAAAATCTGTCGATTGTCAGTCAGATTCCTGTCAAATTTATTTATGCTGTCAAACTATCCGCGCAAGTGTAACGGTTGCAAATTATTTAAAAAATAAAATATTCGACAATGAAACTATATGATACATAATTAATTTTAATAATCACCACAAAATAATAAGATGGATGCAAAAAGAACACAGACTAATCAGCATAACCGTAAGTATATATAAATATTGTGAGATAAAAATTAGATCTTTTTGGAACTAAGCTGAAACTTATTTTAGGTTTCCAGAAGCTTTCTTTAAAGAAAAATGTGGGGATTGATAAAAAAGATACACAGAAATGTAAAGGAAGCTTTGATATTTTGGTAATCGACGATTCTTTTGATAGATTGATGTCCCAATATTCAAATAATGTAAGTATTTTCATGGTGTCTTATTTTATCAAGCAGCCGGCTAGTGTAACGAAATTATTATTTTGTATGTACATAACACACTTAAAAAGTCGTTGTATTTTTTTATTATCTGCTTAAAATTTAGATTATTTGTATTATTGGTGTATTCTTAAAATTTCATATTAAAATTCAATCCACATAATGTTAGTTCAATACTAAATGTAATTGGAGCAAAGTTTGCTTTTAAATAAAATTCTAAGTAAAACCATTGCAGACTTGTAACTTAAGCATAAACATAAAACTAATGTCAAAAAAGGAACTCAAATAAGTATAATTTTTTTTATTAACAACTTGTCTTATTAACATTTTGAGTGGGTGTATACTGTATAGGACTTAATCTTGATGATTGATATTTTCTATAAGACATGGTCTGCATGATGTTATATACTATATAACAACTAGTTAATAAAATTTCCATATAGTAATAGAAACTTATATAAATAGTTATTAAAACTCTAAAAAATCTATAATAATTATCTAAATTCTTTGAAATTGAATTCTATTCAATAATTTTTTGTCTTAATGGCTTCTAAGCGTGCCAGTTAAGCATAGATTACTTCGCCAATGTCATGTAGAATGGAAAAGATAATAAATATTGATCGGTGAATTGATATCTAAATAAGTTATTAATATATACTTTTTTATATATATTCTGATTTATTTAATTCATAATCTGCAGGACAAATCCAAACCGAAGGTGCACTCTCCAATACTAATTAACGATTCATGTGATGGTATAAATGATGATAACTTTGATTGTATAAGCACAGAACCTAGTAAAAGTGGAAATGTAAGTTCATTTATTATTTTGTTGGAAACAATTTTTTTTTCTGTTTTCATTTGCAATCAGTCCCTGGACTATAAGCGAATAGGTGGTGCGATAACTGGTGTGATGAGTGAGCCCTCCATTGAGGATACTTCTCGTGTTATGAGGGTGTTAAAACCCTCTCGTGCAGCTGTAGTACATCATGCCTTTTTAAGCGCCTAAGATGTTTTTAGCTTGTACGCTCCGTTGCCAATTATTGGGGTGTAACAATTTATAAATCGTGACTAAATTGTGACTAGCGACTTACACTTGCTTCACTCGGGTCCACCCCTAGGTGCATTTTAATTTTTTTTAACATATATAAAAAAGTCATTGTTATGGGTAGCGGTAAAGCTTCTAGATAATAAATATTTTTTATACTATAGATTTTACATTTTTTAATACATATTATTATGAAATACATAATACATATTATAGCATACTAAACTTTGATAAGTTCATGATTATTCTTGGTTAAGACTAAATTGTGTGTTTACAATTCAAAAGTAAGTAACTTTTTCAGCCATTTTAATTAAGATTTATAAAAATGGATAAGTAAAAGATTATTTTCTTCATGTAAGATTTTTTGTGACAAATGTATGTATGTTATAAGTTCTAAAATTAAAATAGTATTTTAATTCTACAGGTGTCATTTTCTTCAAGGGATTTACTATCACCAACAAACCAACAATCTAGACCCAGTATAGACGGATGGTCGCCACATCAAAACGTAATATGTGCTACACCAAGACACAATGCAGTACCAACAACGCCAAAAGACAAAACTAACGAATCCCTAGAACAGTGTTCATTGAAGAAAATACAAAATTCACATCAAAAATTGCTTAGTGATCTATATGGTGATACATGGAAATCAATACCTAGTCTGTTCAAATCAATAAAACAAAAACATGAGGATTTAGATGTTGTTGCAAAAAAATTGCATTTCAATGACGATGAAAATGATAAAGAAAATATTCGAAGTGACTTGAAACGTAATAAAGAATTATATTTAACGAGCTCGGAAACAAAGATAAGAAGAAATGGTTCATTTGAAGAGAAAAAATCCAAAAAGAAATTGTATACTGAGAAAATACCAAGTACACCAGATTTACCGAAGCAAAGGCCAAGAAATGTCAAGAGTTCAACGAAAAAAGGGATGTCCGTTACTGAATTGGTCAGAACTATGACAGATAATGTTAATGTTTTAACGAATCATATACAAAATGTCACTGTTACACCCAAAACTGACGTGAATAGGCTCAGTTTTGTTGCATCTTTAGCAGGTACTTCCATACTAATATTATAAATGTCAAAGTTTGTGAGGATGGATGGATGTTTGTTACTCTTTCACGCCAGAACGGCTGAACGGATCTGGATGAAATTTGGCACAGAGATAGATTATTATATATAGTCTGCTGTCTGAAATAGCACGTAGGTTACTTTTATCCCGGATAAATGTATGGTTCCCGTGGGACAGATTTGTTGTCTAAGGACGAACCCGATTCGAAGCGACGGTGAGTCGCTAGTATGAATTTAATAATAAAATAGCATTTGAACAGTATATGTATTAAATTGAACAATTGAATTTAATTATATTATTTACTATAATTGGCTTGCTTGCCCACAAACATTCATCCCCATTTTCATCCTCTTAAGGGATGATTTCCGATAAAAACTATCCTATGTTCTTTCCAGGGTCTCAAACGAAATTTCATCTAAATTGGTTCAGTAAATGCATAGATTACCCTACAACGTCACAAAGTCACAAACTTTATCTCTTTATAATATTAGTATAAATTAGTATAGATTATTTAACTATTTTTTTATCTGTTTAAAAAGTACAATAGTATTAGAAAATATTGTTTGAGAATTTTGATCTTCAGAGAATATCCCCTCATGGAGATGTCATCCTGAAGCCATTCAATACCATGATAATTACAAAGAATTAAAGGAAAAGCTAGCGAGAAGATTGTACAAAGAGTTTAACAAAGTTATATTTGATGATGCCATGGATGCAGATCTGCCTATCATATGGGATACAAAATTAAGAAGTACGGCTGGGTAAGGATATCAATAACTAACTCCCGTGACTCTGCTTATATAGTAGTTAGATACCTGCGTGTGTCGGTCGGTGTGGCTAACATGTACTGCTGCAGATCGAAGGTTCTGGATTTGAGTACCGGATCGGGCCAAGTTTAATTACTGAGTTGCTCTGTTAAGATATTCTCAATAACAGCCTGGAGTTGGGAAGTTTGTTCTACCCCCGCGCCTCGGAGAGCACGTGAAGCAGTTGTTCCTGAGCCTTAACTCACGGGTTGTGTCGAAGTATCATCCCATCGGACTTTGAGAGTAAAAGGAATAGAGAGTGCATGTTGTGTCTGCACTATAATATCTCATGCTCATATGAATATCTCAGTGAGATTGGCATTATTATTATAGTATGTGTAACCCATCGATCAAAAAAGTTCTAGATACACAATCAGCGCCAAATAATGTCCTCACCGAAAGTGCGCTCATTATATAATTTTTTTGTGAAAACAACTTTAAGCATTGCATTTAAGGTTCAATTTACATTGATGTATATTTATTTCAACTAAATAATTACATAAACACAATTGGTGACAGTTTTAAGAGAACATTTGTATGGGATTGCGTATCTAGTACTTTTTTGATCGATGGTGTAACCAGAATAATTTGAACTGACGCCTCAGTGCTTATTTCAAACGTCCAGTACTTGTTGTATTATAGTAGAGAATTTTTTCCTCTATTTTAAAAACAAAGTTTTCTAATATTTATATGTATATATGTATTGTATGTATATAAATCTTGTATTCAGCTCTTTTTTTTACGTCCCACTGCGCCTCCCTTTTCAATACGAGGGGAATCAGGCCATAGTCCACCACGCTGGCCAAGTGCGGGCGGGCTTCACAGTTTTTCGAGAACTTGCTAGGTTTTTTCAGACATGCAGGTTTCTTTACATGTTTTCCTTCACCTTAATACAAAATATCAGAGATGTGAGACCCAGAATTTGAAACCACTTCACTCGGTTTTCCAAGCGCATTACCACTGAGCTACCACTGTTTTACAAACTACATATTATTATACAAAATTCGCCATCATTTCCAGGACAACAACAAACCGTCTAATAAAAACATCAAACGGTAGCAGGATACGAGCATCTACAATAAAATTATCAACCAAAGTATTGGACGCGGTGCAAAGACTCCGCGACACGCTCATACACGAACTGTGTCACGCCGCGACGTGGTTGATAGATGGAGAGATGAGAGCTGGACATGGGCCTTTGTGGAAGAAATGGTATTATATGTTAAAAACTTATATATAAATCATATATGATATACTGCTCTAATACTTTCTTAGATTTATGCAAATACTAGCGACTCACCCTTGCTTCTCTCGGGTTCGTCCCTGGGTACGTTTTATTTTTTTTGAGCGGAACCCTAATTATTTTTTTTCTAAAATAAAAGTAGCCTATGTTACTTCATATAACATCAGCTATCTTCCAGTGAACGTCCCGTTAAAATCAGTCCAGCCGTTTTAGAGATTATCCGGAACAAACAGACAGCCAAAAAATTTAAAAATTGTGCTTTTCTTATATAAATCCGTATATAATTTCATATGCATTTAGTAAAACGCTGTTATTTTGACATTACAAACAGACATTTAAATTTTATTTATCTGTATTAAGTTTTTTACTGAAATAAAAGTGATATATACATATGTATGACGTGTTGCTATAGGTTGTATTGTAATGTGTTTTCCCGTGGGAAAAAGATAATCGCTTGCGTTAAAAGTAGCAAAATTACGCGAGTCTGTCACTCTATTTGACGTGAATGAAGGACAAACAAACAAATACACTTTTGCATTTATAATATTAGTAAGTATAGATTGTACAGTATGTTCGCTGATTTATTTTTATTTTTGGGTCCCGACGTTTCGAATGCTTTACAACAATCATGGTCACGGGAGAGACTAAATCATCACATCAGCAGGTAGCACCTATCCACAAAATTACAAAATGATGTCAAAAAATACAAAAACGTCACCAAATTACCTTACAATATTTGTTAATTTTAATTTTAAACATTTGATCTACTCAGAATTTGATTATTTTAATTTTATTTAAAATAGATATTATGTCTGTTAATTTGCAGGGCAAAGAAATCGTTGAAATTGTTTCCTGAACTGGGTGAAATATCTCGTTGTCACGATATGGAGATACACTACAAGTATACATACAAATGTATGAAATGTGGATACAGGTAATTTACAATACTATCCATATAATATTATAGTAGCTTATATCGTAAGTTACAATAAAATTTTCTTAGCCCATGAGTTGACTGGAAGATATCTATTCTAGAGATGACTTCTTTTTTGTTCTCCTTTGACCAAGGACTTTTGCTTTTCTCATTTTATGTATAAAAGTCATAAAAAGTTATTTTTTTATTGTTAAAACTTACATAACAATTTTTTTTAATTTTTTCAACTTCCGTTCTTTGTAACTTTAAACAGGTAAAAATGAACTAATTAATAAAAGCATAGTTAAAAAATTGTGGTAATTTTTTTGTTGATGGATTATTGTTTATTCATGTGCTTAGATAATACTATTTTTATTTAATTGTTGGTTTATTTATATTATTAATATAATTATTAATATTGTTGGTACAGTTCCGGGAGGTAGGACTTTTTTTTTAGGAAGTTTCCTGTTCCTTAAGGATCTTTTTTTTTGAATTTTGGATATCTCAAATAGTTTTTTATATAAAAAAAAGGCAAAACCATTCTTCTTACTTAATTGTTTATAACTTGCAATTTTTGCCGGCCCTAATATTATTAATAATTATTAATGTTGTAATGTATACTAGTGAGCTCAAATAGGACCTATATGTATATTGCCCTTCTATCACTGTATATATATTTAATACACACGTCTTTTTCAAAAATATTCTCGTTTCCAGTATAAAACGACATTCAAAATCAATAGACACTACTAAGAAATGTTGTGGCTATTGTCGGGGCATGTTTGAAATTATAGTGAACAAGAAAAATAAAGATGGCGTCATAATTTCAACGAAAGCTAAGAAAGGCGGTTTGAATGACTTCGCAAAATTTGTTAAAGAAAATTATGGAAGTTTAAAACAAGGAAGGACTCATGCAGAGGTTATGAAGTTATTGGGAGAGCAGTTTTCTGTGAAGAAAAATAAAAAATATAGCTTTATTGATTTGAGTTGTGAATAAGTTCGGACCAGCAACCACTAATAAATTACTAGATACACAATCCCATACAAAAGTTCTCTTAAAACTGTCACCAATTGTGTTCAGGTAATTCTAATTGAAACTTTGGCATTTGTAATTCTGACTTTAAGACTATATTGACTATATATAAGATGTATTGACCAGCCAGTCTCAGTCGTAAAAACTTATAGATTTTAAGTACGTAGCTTTGTGAAAACAACTTTTAGCACTGCGTTTAAGGTTCAATTTACATTGTTATATATTTATTTAGAACTTAAGAGCACGGAGCGACTCAACACTTTCAGTCAAAAAAAGCCCTAAGATTTTTTTGGACATAATATTATGCAATCATCCAAGTAAAGAAAATTATTATCTAAGGCCAAATTGAGGGCAAACGCGCACGGTGAAGGGCACCTATAAAGGTGTCTGCTCACTACACCTTCTCATACCATGACCGTGCTAGGACTGTGTCAGGCAAAAAAAAATCGTTGTATTGTAAAGTATGAGACTGCCCACTAGACCGTTCCGTCACCGGACCGGCACCGTCGCGTGTCGTGCACGGAGTGGTAACAATTGTCGGCGAGAATCTTTTGCCGGTGCCGGTACGCTCCTTGTCTTGCACGCGACGTCGCGGGACCGGTATTACTTCTTATTGTCAATTACACATACAAATATAGTGGAGTTGTAATTTTTATATGCTTAATTTATTTTAATTATGACAATAATTTATAAGTTGTATATATTTTTAACGATTGTACTGGTTGCAATGAACTTGAAGACGGTTTGATTTTTATATATTATATATAATTGACATTTGTACACTATGTATATTGTAATATTTTGACTTTGCATAGTAAATTATTATGTTATTATTATTATTTAAATATTATATGACCACTTCGTTTTGAGGTAGCGGGTTCTAATCTTTTGAGCAAAAATGTTTGTATGGTCTAAGACTGATTAAGACATTGTATATTTGATTTTGACTAAAAAATATATATATGTATGTGCACTATATTTTTTGAGGAATCAATTTTAATTCTAAACTCCATTTTCGAATTTTATGGTTATTTCTAAGGTTTTACATCGATTATGACAGAAGTGTGACTTTACAAGTATTTGTTATTAGTTATTAATTTTAGTTATAAATACTGAATATTTTGTATAAATAATTAAATTTTGTGAATAATGGTAATTTTAGACTTTTATTGATGTACATAAATTGTTATTTTTGGAGCGAGTTTCTTTTATTTTTATAACATTTTCTTTTATTCTTAAGTTCTAAACTAAATGGGTAACCAATTATAGAAAATCCTTTTTTTTTAATTAGAAATGGGCTCACTCTTGACCTTCATCTTAGCTCGAAGGCACAGATAAGGTCTACGATCTAGCGAGTTTGCCCAGGAGAAGCAGAAACAGAAAGTTTAACAACGTTTATTACCGGTGACATTGGATATGACAATTTTAAAGAGAAAAAAAATGTAGACAACCGCAGCAAGTTAACAAAAGAGTTGTTTGTTCAGAAAATTACAATTAAATATTTTGTGTTTACTATTCCAACACCAATGATGACTTCAACATAAAAAAATACGTGATTTTAATGATTATTGTAAAACCATCAATTATTAATTGAATGAGATTATGATGATGAAGCATTTACTTAAATAGACGATAGATGGCGTTGACCCAAAAACTAACGAACGAAATTATTTTAAAAAACATGTACTAAAATATGTAAAATATTACAAAATTCAAGATGCATTTAAAACAAATTTTAGTGACTTACACCCATTTTATTTTTTAACCATTAAGTATTTTGTCATCTGTGGTAAGGGGTTTTTAATATTTATGAAATTTTTGTTTGCATAAACAGACGATAGATGGCGTTGACCCAGAAACTGTCGAACGAAATTATTTTTAAGGACATTTTTTCTAAAATATGTAAAATATTACAAAATTGAAGTTGCATTCGTTAAAACAAATTTTAATAACTTTAACCATTTCTAAGCATGATTAGAAATGTATATGAAATATAGCACTATCTATGAATATGCAATAAAAACTCTACTCATTTTCCATAATAAGTAAAATTTCGCAAATATAAATTAAAATGAGTGCATTACGTTATTATCTAAAATATGTCTGGGGTATTTTTTTAATAATTAATCTTACACGAACATCAATGTTGATTGATACATTTATAAAAAAATGGTTGTTTGTTTCAATATTATAATATATTCAGCCCTTTTTACGTCCCACTGCTGGGCACGGGCCTCCCTTCAATAGGAGGGGGTTCAGGCCATAGTCCACCACACTGGCCAAGTGCGGGTTGACGGACTTCTCATGTCTTTCGAAAACTTGCTAAGTTCTCTCAGACATGCAGGTTTCCTCACGATGTTTTCCTTCACCGTAAGGCAAGTGGTGATCACTGATCATGTTGGAAATGATTCGTACATGAAAATATCAGAGGTGCGAGACCCGGGATTTGAATCGGTGTTACTCGGTTTCCCGCGTGACGCCGGTTACCACTGGGCTACCACTGTCACTTATAATAATCATAATAACAAACTTTTTCTCTTTATTTTTAAAGAAAATTAATTTTTGAAACAAAATTGTTTGTTTCAAAAATTAATTTTTGAAACAAACAATAAGACAGTTCAAATAAAACAGCAAATTTTTATTATCTTTTTATTTATACATATTAAATGTCATTTGTTAAATGATAAAAGTAGGTACAGATTTGAAGATATTAAAAAAAATATAATTTACAACAAAACAGTATAATGACTTAATTTTAATGGGGTACTTATGTATCCCGTATGTACAATTTCAAAGGGAAAAAAGTTGCATACTTTAATATATTTACATAGGAAAAGTGTTGGATCATTCCACAATGAATAAAATACGATAAATATTTTTTTTTCTATTTTACACAATTATTTATTACCTATCTATTAGTGCCAATATTACACCTGTTTCTAAACGTATGTATACAGATAATATATATAGAGGGATGATATCTAGAGACATAAATGAAAAAAAAATGTTTTTTTATCCTTATCGCTTAACTATAGCCTGCATTTTATATGAATTAATTAATGTCAATTTTTAATCTGCCTAGCTCTGTATATATTATCTGTTGTATAATTTATCTGTGGCTTTTCTAATTTCCCGCTAAAATGTGATAGATTCGCGTAATTATTGGCGAAGGTTGAATTAATAATGAATGTGACTAGTTTTATAATTGTGTACCAAATAAGTGTCTTAGTAAAACCCAAGCCGTCTCACTTCTAAAACAAAAATGCTTGCTTTAAAAATATATCTTAAATTCGATAGATTTTTTAGCAAAATTGTTGTTAATTAATCTTCAGATCTATTCTGTCCTACAAAAGATTTGATATGGTAACACTGTTCTTGCGAATGGCAACACAGTAAACTGCAATATAAATTTCGTACTCCAAGTAAATAAATAACAGTCGTAAAGTGTGAAACATTTCTAAATCTATTGATATAAATTTAATGAAATTTAAAACAGTGGGTAAATGATTAATTATTCTATAAACCTTCCAAAATGTCGAAAATCAATTTCGTTTTTGGGTTTAAAAATAGAAATTTTCTCCTGAAAATCTATTTTTCCGTTAAATTTAATTTTTATAGAGATTTTAGACATTAACTGGCAAGTTTATAGATCCATTACGTATATATCTTAATCTAATGTGGGGAACCAAGTAGAACAATATCACATATATTTATTTAGTCATTTAATTATAAATGACTGATTTACAGCCGTATCCTCATATTTTGTAGTTGGGTATTTGCAATACAAAAACAGACACGTGTAAAAAAGTGGCAACACTTTGATATCTTTGCTTTGCCGAGTCCTTACATAGCTAGGAGCCATAAAATAAAAAAAAGTTTGTCTCGGAAGGACCATTTTCGATCCTCTAAACAAACAGCCAGTCGGTCGATAACCGTAATACTAGTAATAATTAAATATGTAAAAAAATGGCAATGATTTTCGAGATAATATAAAACTTATGTTACACGAGGCCCGAAATGTTGCTATTTACAGGAGGCCGTTAATACCTATCTATACATATAATATACAAAATGTAACATCGACATTTGATTTAAAAATTTAGGTCATCTGCCGTAATCGACAGGTTGATGGTGAATCAGGTTTGTGGGCCGTCTTCTAGGGGTCTAAACCTGACGAAACCGTCTTGGGCGACTAGCATACTTGCCCCGGTTTCGTTTGGGTTTATTTCGTCTTGCGGTTGCGAATATGCTTCGTAACCACAATTCCTAGGCGCTGGTTGAGGGGTCCCTATTGGATAGTTATTGGATTCCTCGGAAAATCCGTACAAATCCGTCGATTTAGGTCTATCTGGGAACCCGTTGTTTTTGCCACGTTTCTGACTGCCGCTCGAATTAACCATCGAAGTAGACGGTGAGTTCCGACGTTGGGAACCTCTTATTTGTTGTCCTTCATAACTTCTATTTGGGTTCAGAGTTTGTATCCCAGACGCATGATACGACGCGTTTTCAGCGTTATAATTCCCATAATCATCTATATGGGGTTGATGGTAATGGTGACTCATTGCTGGATCGTATCCCATTGTCATAATATTTTGAACATTCATGTTCTTTATTCTTTGCTTTTTACGTGGATTGCTGTTTGTTCTAGACGACACTCTTTCATAGGACATATGTTTGAAATTGTGCGAGCTACGATTCGAATTTGCGTTATAGTTTTGGTTCTTGATATCTCTAATGAAATCACTGTTGCTGCCATACTGTATTACGTTATATTCATGGTCTAACGGATCGTCGCCTTGTAAAGACTGCATAGTTGGATCGCAGTTCGAATAATGGTCATCTGATGCAGATTCAATGCCATTATAGCCGATATTTTGATGATGTTTCATCAAATGGTTTGTAACTCCTTGACTAGACGTTGCGTTGCTAGATTCTGTAGAGCTGCTATGTCCGGCATTGGCGATTGAGCTGTGTCCCGAGTAGTTTTCTGTACCGGAATTAGTATCGAAAGCGCCAGCTAGCGTATTTAATTGAAATCTTTGATGATCTATCGGACCGCAGCATTGTTCTGGGATGTTTGGGTGGTGGCCAGCCGTTTCGTATATCGGTTTCCCTGTTTTCATTGTGTATGTATGTAAGTTTGTGTTAGCGTTACAGTTAGCCGGGTAATCAGTTTCAAATTGTTCATTACTAGAACCAGTTGCGCAAGGAAAATGGCCTAGCACAGGTATCTTATGACCGTCGGCTTTTTCATGCGGTATAGACCCAGCTGGACTCACTGTCCAACTGATAACGCACGAAATAAGAGCTCCTATACTAACTTCGATAACTAACAAGCAAAAATGATAACCGAATTTCAACCAACCGAATTTAGTTGACGGATTCACTGTGAATATACCTATTATTTGAAGGAGCGCCATCACAATAAAGAGTAATGCTGTGGCCATATTTATTCGAATCACTTGATTTAGGTTTTGACCATTAGTATATGTGTGGCTTTTTGTTTGTAAGACCGTTCTGAGACTTTTATACACATACAGATAGAGCAAACCCAGCGTAAAACACGCTATGACAAATATAATCTGACAAGTAAGACCTAGAACTCTTACTTCGCCTCCATTCGGAGTTTTAATTACGTTTTCAACGTAATGTAATGTTATACAAGTTAACAAATGTAATGTACCGCCTATTATGATAGTTCTTGCACGAAATAGGAAATTGCAACAAGCTGTTCGTATATTGATATGTTTTAGCAGAAACAAAATTGTGGACGCAAAGGCTATGGTCAAAAATATTTCGGGTACATGCAACAGTATTGCATTTAAGAAGACTGGCAATGAGTGGCTAATGTTATAAGGGTCGTAACATATGTAGAAAATTCTTATTATACATATGAGAACTAATAGCAAGTGGAGCGTCATGAAATAGCATTGGGAGAAGATATGAGTGAATTTATTGTAGCGGATGATTTTAACAATTGAGTACGCAGCCAAGACTGTGAACATGATCACCATCAAACCTATGTGACACTTCCACAAAAACGGCCAAGTATCGTCTGGTTCTTGCATTGGCCCAACACTTTTGGTATCTTGTTTAGTACTGACTTTCTTATCAGAATTCACGTTGGCCAAGTTATGATATCTATCTGACGACATATCGGGATCGCTCAATTCGAATCCTATGGTTGTAGCTGGAGTGAACATATCGTCTTTTTTGGTGTCATTTTTATCTATCTGTTTGTTTGTTGCGTATTGTAAGTTCCTTCTAGTATTAGTTTCACTTTGTTCTATAATAAGCGGTCTATCTAAATTGTTCATTTCTGGGTCGAGCACTGCTAATACACCTTCTGTAGATGATTCTTTGTTATCACTAATGGTTACTACGTCTTTTGTCACATGCGTGTCACTTTTCGACGTTTTCTCCTGTTTGTGTTGCGGTTTGGCCGTCACAGTCCTGAGTAGGACATCTGGTATATCTTCTTTCCTTCCATTGGATCCAGATAATATCCTGGAAATTGTTGGTATGTTAAGAGAACTTGGCACAAAGTCTGTGAAGTTGGCTTGGTCAGTGCCATGCTTGTCGTCTAATTCGTCAGGCTGAAATGGAAAAAAATAAGAGTTTTAATACAAAAATAATCAAACACTTTGAGAAGTTTAAAAGTTAATGATTGCATTTTAACAGCTACTTTCAATTTAACTATCGTAACGTACATCAAACTTTAGAAAGAAAAATCTTAAAATTTCAAACTTTAACAATATTGGCAATAGTATCAAGTTGGTTGATAAAGAAATTTGTACCTTATGACTGGGTGTGTTGAGTGCTTTTTTCTTCTGCGGTTCGATTCCCGCAGGCGGTAAGGGCGGCGGCGCCGGCACTTGTGGGGAGGACGTTTCCTGAAAATTGGGAAATTTGCTATTTGAGTGGATTTTAAAAGGCAATTGGGGTGCTTTGTTTTATCATACTTTTATTTGTCCGGTTCATTTTACTATCGTTACTACGGAGTCGGTGTCACAATTTCACTTATGTTTTATTTTACTCTCGTCATTGTAGGAATTAGTTTGTTTCAGTGTACATCAGTGGTATTTTCTACTAGAAGATAGCACAGTGAAATATTACGTTGTTGTTTACTTACATATTAAGACATGTTAAAAATATATTTTGTATATATGTATTTATTAAACTTAAACTGTACTCAGCTCTTTTTAGCGTTCCACTGCTGAGCACGGGCCCCCCTTCAATACTAAGGGTATCCAGGCCGTAGTCTACCACGCTGGCCATGGGCAGGTTGGCGGATTTTACATGTATGTATTTAGAAACTTGTTAGATTCTCTCAGAAATGCAGGTTTCTTCACGATGTTTTCCTTCAACGATGAAGACGAGAAACAAGTGGTAATCATGTCGGAAATGTTTCGCAGATGACAATATCAGAGGTGCGATAACGGGATTTGAACCCGCTTCACTCGGTTGCTCTTGCGACCGCGTTACCACTGTGCTACCACTGCTTGTGATTTATTTATATACACATATTACTTTTAAGTAACAAAATTAAAACTTTCGAAAGACCTATTACAATAAAAAATTAGTAATCATATTTTATATATTAGTACAGTAAGGAGTTGGTATAACAAATACAATGTACATACCTGTCCAGGTGGTCTGATTGGTATCCGTTCATGACCAGGCCCAAGGGACGGAGGAGGGATAGGCCGCCGGTTGAGATAACTGTTCCCATCTGTGTTTGTGCCTGGGAATGAAACAAGAACAAATAATTAATTAAAAAGAAAAGAATTTAATTAAAAAAAAACCGACCATCTTGGACCGATTTTCATCAAAAATAGATAAGAGCACCCTACTAATTCACCTTTCAAACAAAAAAAAATCAAAATCGTTCATCCGTTCGAGAGCTACGGCGCCACACACAGACACACACGTCAAACTTATCCTTTCCTATCCCCGTCGTTTTTACGTCGTACGGGGGTTAAAAAGAAAAAAGAACAAGTTAGAGAACTTATCTTATAACTGCAAGACGCTAATTCCATACCAATTATTTCTAAGGAGAAATAATTGGTATAATTGTATATCATTATCATGCTTGAAAATATTATGACGAATCTATTAATAAATAAATAATAATAAATATGTTGGGACATTAACACACAGCACCGTCTAGTTCCATGATAAGCTACGAGACTTGTGTTATGGATACTAGATAGTTGATACACTACACATATATAACTTTAAATACATACATATTATAAATATAAACACCCATGACTGGAATACAAACATTCGTGCTCATCACACAAATGAATGCCCCCAGCGGGATTCAAACCCGCGACCGCTGGCACAGCAAGTAGGGTCACTACAAACTAAGCCAAACGGTTTGTATTCGTATTACTAAACTTTTATATTTCAATATATTACGTCTAAGTTACCTAAGTATGTTAACCTAAAATCTGAACACATTTTTGGTAAGACTTTTATTTTAAATTTTTCTAGATTTTCATCCAAATCTGTCAAGCAATTTCTGCGTGAATAAAACGAGTAAGAAATATACGTATACAATAAAAAATCCATAATAATATTCTAATGAGTCTCAACCTTTCTAGGAAGTATCCTACTAATATTATAAATGTGAAAGTTTGTAAGGATGGATGGATGTTTGATATTCTTTCACGCAAAAACTACTGAACGGATACGAATGAAATTTGGCACAAAGAAAAATTATAGTCTGGAATACGACAAAGGTTACTTTTTATCCCGGAAAGATGTACAGTTTCCGTGGGATAGTTTGTTTTTGTCTAGGGACGAACCCGAAGCGAAGCTAGGGTGAATCGCTAGTCTACTTATAATTTTCTCAAAAATGCACTACATAGTCAGTTAATTTAATCTATTAGGTACAAATAAGATAAACCCTACTGATTTCTTAGAAGGAATTTTATATGCGTTTCCAGACATCCTATTATGAGGATTTATTGAATAAAATTCTATTTTAAATCTCAGTCTGTGAGGTGAATAGCATATTCGTTTTATTGGCATTTGCCTCCTTGACTGTATGCCAAGAAGCTCTCAGCCAAGGAAAAAGGGTTAATCATGAGTTGTTGTACGTCTATTGTAAAACAACTGGCACAGTGTATACTTTGTATTGGTTATTACGGCGGAGGTCACAGGTTCTATGTCCTTAGGAGGCATTTGTATTAATGCAAGTTTGTTTTAGTAATAGAAGCTTTCTTTTACGATGAATAGAAATTATAACAATTTTATCCAAATCGTTAGTAAAAAATTCTAATGTAATAAATCAAATAATAAAAGTAATATATAGTAACAAAAATTAAAACGATTATGGCATCTATTTCTAAGGTAAATTGAAGAACAGGTCTAAATCTAATGAAAAAGGAGCTAGCAAGCGCTATGTGAGATTAGCTCTTTGGCGTTACAAGCGAAATTCAATATTGCATGCTAAGTGGGTATTTAACACATTACTCTGTCAATAGCGATGCAAATGCAACTACACCTGCAAGGATAATAGTCAAAGGAAAGTGACGATAGTGTGCATAAATTCGGTTTGGGTTTAACCACTAAAGGGGTCATGGATTCGAGTTTCAGTGCATGTAGACACATCGTATCACAGGTTCTTCTTTTTTTAATTTGTTGAATATAAAGAGAAATAATAAAGTAATGAATATAAGCACAGTATAGTAATCTACATGTACAGAAAGATATGTAGTCGCACCCGATTATCATACGTTCTTTTTAAAGACAGTCGGGGAACGCCTTAAGGGATGAAGGTTATTTTTTATATCTTTGTTACGGCTTTATATAAGTATCCTTCTCATCATTGTCAGGGTACTAACATAACAGTAGCTTACCACGAGATGGCATTACAGTGCCTTAACTTTAAAACCGTTCGTATGAAAGCTTTAGGTATTTTTAGACGATCCTTAACTGCACTTCCGTTCAATTGTAAGATAATCGCTTACAGTATAGATTTTTATATTGTAATATTTGTAGTGTAACTAATATTTGTAGTACCTCTAAGTGTCGGCTTATCAGCAAAGGGGTTTCGGTACTCGGGCGGCAAGGGCGGCGTGAAGAAGGCGCGTCCAGGCGGCGCGTACGATGGCACCGCGCCGACACCCGCCAGTAGAGCCGCGCCGTGGTGGGCGGGAGGCCTAAAATAAACACACATATGAATAACATGAAAGAAAAATATTCAAAATAAAAAATAATTACACTTTCTTCAAATAACACAATGGTAACAGCCCTAATTCCTGAACTAGAAAAATGACTGTGTTTCAGGAGCTAGTACCTTCCCATATCAGACTTACATATTAAATGCTCATGCATTCATTTTGATTATACGTTTGGCTCAGTTGTAGTGACCCTACTTGCTGTGCCAGCGCGGCGGTCGCGGATTCGAGTCCCGCTTGGGGTTTTCATTTGTGTGATGAGCAAGAATATTTGTACTTCAATCATGGGTTTATATTTATATGTATGTACATATTTAAAGTTATATCTGTGTATCAACTATCTGTTATCCATAACACAAGCCTCGTAACTTACCATGGAACTAAATGGTGCTGTGTGTTAATGTCCTAACATATTTATATTTATTTATATTTATATATTAAATTACACGCTATAATAAGGTAGGTTAATTTAAAAAAAATACAAGAGAAAAAAGTGTGTGTATATGTTTGATTGGATAAAAGTGGTGTAAATAATGAAAGTATATTATATAAACGTTTTTAATTAACTAATAATATAAATAATCCTAACATTAATAAAGTTTCTAAAAATTTGTTTCTCAGCTTATTTGCTATTTTTCGTTGTATATTTTTTTCATTTAAATACGATCTAAAACACTCAAATTTGTTTAACCGTTACAGTTTGAAGAACAAACAAACACAAATTTTGCATAACATATTACAAATATTACCTAGTATGATTTTAATATAACGAGGCACCGATTCTATTTTTACTATATGTAAACATTCCTAACATAAAGGTGGTGAGAATTTTCGAATGTAAATTTCACATTAAAATTCCGGACGATTCGAACCCGCATCCACGTCTATATCGTGGCTTGTGTTATAATCAGGATGTACATATTGTAAACTTAACAAAACTTAAAAAAATACCTAAAATATGTATGTATGTGAAGAATTTTTCACACACTTGTCTAAAGTTATAAACAAAAAAAAAAGAAAATTACAAGACTATGGGTACGTACATATTATTTCTATTATAAATTATAATGATTTTCGAATTAAAAGTTATCGATTTTGAAATGTGTTTAATAAAAAGAATTGTGCTGCCCTTATATTAGTTTGTTTTATAAATACAGTAGCAGAACCCGCGGCTACGCCCGCGTTCAATCTAAAAAAAACCTTTTGGCTTTATGTTATACAGCGATATGTATTTATTTAATATTGTTCATACAAAAATACTAAAAAGGAGTGCGACCACAAACACCGTGACACGAGATATTTGGTTATTAGATTAGATTAGGACCTACCTATATGAATTTTTAATAATCAAAAAGAACAAAAGTTTAAAGTTATCAAATAATATATACACACAAAATAGCTTGAAATCGGTCAAAGAATGTATATTGTGTCTATAATGAATTTATCTGTCTGTTTGTATTCACTAATCTTCGATGCTATTAAAATAAATGTAAAGAAACTAAGTTGCTAAAATTGGATTAAAAGGATAGATAAAAAAGGTTTACAAAAAAAAACATCATAATACGCGAGAGTCGCCACGGGCGAAAGTAAGTTACTTATTTTAAATAAAACTATCTTTTTAGATTATTTGGCGGATTTATTTTGATTTTTGGTTCCTTAAAATTGTTAAATAAATCCGCGAAATAATGTCAAATATTCGCGTAAATCTAAGAAAGTATTTAAGTTACTTATTATGTAACTTAAAAAATAAATAACAAATTTAAATATTATACCATAGTAGCAATGCGTCCCGGCTTAGATTGACTACTTTATTTTAAAATAATAACAAATAATTATTTCGACAAAGAAAAATGAAAATTCTTAAATTTAGAAATATGATTTCTGACATTTAAATCTTTGAGTTTCCAAACAAAACTTCATTAAAACGAGCTAAGCCATGAAAACCAGACAGACAGCCTTACGCATTTTATTATTACGCACAGATAATTATAAATTCCATACACAACGCTGCAAAGTGGTTTACAATTTAGACATGCGACAGAGAATAATAAGTGGTAAAGGCAAAACGGCGGGCGTATACGATAACAATGCAGCATTAGACCGTAAATCTACAGCAGAATGCGAATTTCAATAAACGCACGCTCTTACTGCGAAATACGCGGGTAGAATTAAAAACCTTACCCTTTGTGATGTTATGTCCGTGAGAACCTATGGATAATCTCGAGAATGTTTTGTTTCCTGGAAACTTCTGTTTCGTCGTTCTGTATATTTTATACTAGCAACTTACACTTGTATCGCTGCAATTACTAATAATATTATTGTAATGTTCTCCCGACCGGTTTCGGTCACGATGGGACGATACTTCAACACGACCGGTAAGAGTTAAGTCGCAGGACCGATGGCTTTATGTGCTCTCTGAAGTACGGGGGTGTAACACCGCCAGCTTTCCAACTCCGAGCTACTATTGAGAAAATCTTAAGAGAAAGACTCAGTAATTAAACTTGACTTAAACTCGAACCCAGAACCTTCGGATCTACAGCCGTACATGCTAGCCACTACACCATCGAGGCAGTTACTAGATACCTAACAGTCTATGTGTCTTATGTCATAGTCTATCTGTTTACTAAATTCCATCTTAATCGGTTCAGCCGTTTAAACGTATAGGAGTAACAAACATACACATTTTGCACCCAAGCGAAGCATGGGTACGTCTTTAGTCTATCATATCATTTTCAAATTAGCTTTAATAATCCTATACAAACATGAAATTAGCTTTAGTTGATTGAAGCCGATGTCATAACGTGCGTTTGTTAGCCATGTATTTGGTACCTATTACGTATTTCTACGTAACACATATGCCCAAAATATCAAACTAGATCGGTTTAACAAATTGAGCTAATACATTTTTCGATAGCTATACGTTGTTATGTAAATTAAGTTATCGATTTAATTTCGAAATATCGAGTTGTGAGCTGTTTTACTAATTTGAGCTTTTTAAGCGAAAAGAAAGTTTATTTCTATAGAAATACAATTCACAGTGACATTCATTACCTATGAGACTTTTATCTATTATTACAGCCAGTACTTACTCTCTTGTGAACTGGAAGACTAATTGGAATTAAAAAAAATATTAAAGAAAAATATACGATATTTTTACAGAAACTTTAAGTAATAATAGTAATTACTTTATAATATAAAAAATAAAAACTTTATAATGAATACCTACACAAAATATTACGGAAGCTCTTACAAAGGATGAGCTTAGTAGGTAGCTTATTTACTCAATATGTTTTTACTATAACTGACTTACCCTCGCATCACTCGGGTGCGTCCCGAAGTGCGCAGATTTTGTTCACAATGTCTAATTCTAATTTTTCATATGGTTCTAATTTTTTTTGCGCGGAACCCTAATTCTTTTTCTAAAATAAAAGTAGCCTAAGCTACTCCTTATAACATAAACTTCCGGCCCGTGAAAGTGTCGTTAAAATTAAGCCAGCCATTTCGGAGATTAGCCGGAACAAAAAGATACAGAGATACAGACAAAAATTTAAAAATTGTCTTATTCCTACAAGGACCGTATATACTTTCACATGTATTTAGTTTTTACTAATATAGTTGTTATTTTTACATTACAAACAGACACTTCAATTTTATTTATTTGTAAATGTTATAGCCTATAACCTTCCTATTGGTATGATTTTCATAAGAAAATCTGTACTGTAGCTTCTGAGATTTGTAAAGTTAAATTTCAAATTCAACAACAACAAAACTGAATTACCGTATTTATATATTACCATTTGAGATTACAAAATTTTAGCTTTAGAGCTTATTTTGCCCATATTAGATATTAGATATTCATTAAATTTGCCAGATATGTTTTATATACCATTTTTATACTCGTCCATCAAATGAATCCCATGGGATAACTGAATAACCTATATGTTCGAAGTAGATATTGATTCTGACAGATACTTTATTTCAGTTTATCTTTTTTTACCATTTTATCTTTTTTTTATTAAATAGCCATTTGTGCCCACTGCTGGGCACAGGTCTCCCAGCAATGTTATATATATATTAGGTCATAGTCTACCACGCTGGCTAAATGCGGGTTAGATGACTTTATATTACTTCCTCGCGTAAAAATGTCCATCTTGTTGGAAATGCGATTCGCATTCAAAAATATCAGTAATACAAAAATCGTCTCTATTTTTCTAAATTTTGTCTGTTTATATACGAAACCCGAATGGATTCGAGCCTGCTTCCCTTGGTTTTCCAAGCAGATGTTCTAACAACTGGACCTCTACATAGATACGAGTACATATATATGTTGGCAATCTGAATACGCGGTTCATTGATTGAAATAATTAATTATGTATTGATTAGATGCAGTAATAACTAGAATATGCAGTTAGTGGCACCTAATTGTTAGATTAACATAAGGCGTAAGCAAATCAAATGTAATTGATTTTCGTGTTATCTGTTAGTAGTAAATTATTAATATAATTTGCTAAAGGATGAGTGCTACAGTTCCTTATAAATATACCTTATCTATTTATAATTGTAATTTTATAATTTTCATTCATTAGTTTGAACCTGTGACTTCTGACAGAGAAACGGTATCAGGCACAAACAAAAATATATCAAAGATTCAGTTATATTGACAGTCGATGAGTAAAAATATTTTTTGACATCAAAGTACTTTATAATAATAAAACTCGCGTAAACGCAGACGATATCGAGGGCGTCAGCTTGTCTTTCACGATAGCAATTTAGGTTATAACAATCAAAGCCAAATCAGACAACCCAAATACAATCGAAAGCCAAATTCTAGTTCTAAGTAGATTTCGCATGGACATACAAGTTTAGCAAAAGTCAGTGACCCGTGGCCGGCTGATATAACTTGACCTGCCATTTGGTACGCTGTGTATGGCATTCTGGGCTCTATCGCTGTCCAGATTAGCTTGATCCCCCGAATGTATATG